ACATACTTAGTTTATATACCAAATACTAAGTGAATAATTATGATATTTAATTCACTTAATATTGTTTTAATTGAATCTTCCCATTGTTATTTAGGACTGTAATTGATCAGTCTCTTATTGGTATATGTGCATACTGTGCGTGTCGCCTCGACATTGCCTTAATTTACAAGCATTTTATAAGCAAAGATGGATAGTGCCAATAAGAGACTGATCAATTTCAGTCCTAAATATCAATGGGAAGATTCAAGTAAAACAATATCAAGTGAATTACACAAACAGGTGACTATCAAGACTCAGTAGCTAAGTGGATAACGCGATGGCGTTTGAAGCGGACGGTATTGGGTTCGAGTCCCAGAGTGAACATCAACTCTAAGATGTGGCAGGTACATCCAGCTGACGAGTCCTAAATAGGACGAAACACGCGTCAAACTGGATTCCACTGCTAACCACTATCCATCTTTGCTTATAATCATGATATTTGTTTTAGATTTTTTTCAAACTTTCAATTAGATGGAATTGATAAATTTTACGAAGATTTGTGGTTTTTATGGATGGGATCTCGAGCTACTAATTTTAGGGAAGCCGCTATAGTAAGCTTTGAGGAAATGAAACCAAAAACCTGAAATTTCCCCAGACCTGAGGAAATTCTCCAATATTTCCCCAAACTTGGGAGATTGGGATCTTTCACAAAGCATTTATTTTAATAAGAATTTAGTTAGGGTTTAAATTATAATCTTGTTTTACATAAGTAAACAGGAGAAATCGAAGAACATTCTTTCTTATGTACTACTATTTACTAATTATCATCCACAACTGTGTTGGTAATTGATTTCGAAAAGGTTTAGGCTTGAACTCTTTACATTTACATTATTGAATTGGCATCAAACTTCAGTTAATATATGATATGATGCAATGATTAGTTGATGTCATCAATATTGATTGTCTTATTCTTGACAACAAATGAGCTACATTGATCACTGTTTCTCCTTAGAACTGGTTCTTGAAGTTGATCATTAGTGAGAATATCAAATCATTATCAAGTTCTAACTTATTGATTAGTGAATGTGAGATCAAACAAAAATATAATAGGTTAAGAATTTAATTACATAGAGGATCATAAGAAATTATTTATATAATTTACTACATCAAAGAGAGGAATGCCAAAGAATACATTACGTCGGGAAATAGAAGCAGATATGAAAAAGATGAATAACAACTGGAAAGAGTTGGAAAGGATTGTCCAGGACAGGATTAGATGGAGAATTCTGGTGAGTGGCCTATACTCCTTCACGAGGAGTAACAGGCATAAGTACGTAAGTAACATTAAAGAGGTAATTTAGTGGTAGTCTCATAGAATTAACAGCATAAATCTGAGTTTAGCTACTGTTATATTCCAACTGTTGTCATCACTTTCATAAGATAAACAATCTTGTTCATTACAATAACATTGACAGAAAAAAACTTATTGTCTTTCTACTATAGTAAAATAAGTCATAGTACAGTCTAGTATATACAATTGTTATTAAGTATGAAAATATCAGAAGGGGTTTTGTGGAGATTTTAGTAATGTCGATAGCTGAAACCATGAGTCATTTAAAGCTAGATCACCATGGAAAACCTGAAAGCACTGGACGGCTGTTTCGTCCTAATATGGGGCTCCTCAGTAGTGCGCATCCCCCCGCGAGATTCGAACCCAGGTCTGTTGTGAGATATCAGCTCACTGAAGATAATGGTGTACGATGGCACAACTTCGTGGATTAGTTGAAGTTAGACATCAACACCTTTGGATGCCGGCTCAGTGGTCTAGTGGTCAAGCACTCGCGCGAGAAACTGATAGGTCTTGGGTTTGAATCTCGCGCAGCATTTCTTTAATTAATGTATCGTGATGAATTGATGTGTCGTAGAATGAACAAAATCAAAATCCAGCGGGGTCGTGGACGCGCATTGCCGAGGAGTCCCATACTAGGACGAAACGGCCGTCCAGTGCTTTCAGGTTTTCTATGGTGATCTAGTTTCAACTGACTGATGATTTTAACTATTGAAGTATGAAAATGTAAAATTTATGAACTTCCATTATAATTAACAAGTGAAGAGTTTAATTTAACTCATCAACGGGTTAAAAACTAACAAACCCATTAATGAAAACTATTTATCCATATTGTCACAAAACATTAACAGATTTGGATGCCGACTCATAAGGTTTAGAGTTTAAACATTCGCGCGCAAAACCGAAGATCTGGGGTTCGAGTTCCGCATACGGAATGGTAGATGCACACAGCTGTCCAGTGTTTCTAGGTTTTCACTTGTGCTCTGGCTTAAATGAACACATAAATTTTACTATTAAAAAATATATCTCATATCCCAATCACATTTGATGACGTGGCTATACGCAAGGATGTGTGTGTATAAGGGTGATTATTTAACATTATATCATTACATAATAATGAAAATATTAATTTTATAGTTGAATTCATGAGTCATTTGAAGAGAGATCACCATGGAAAACCTGGAAGAACTGGACCGCCATTTCATCCTAGTATGGAATCTTCAGCAGTACATCAATTCATCACGATACATTAATTAAACAAATGCTATATGTCATTAAACAATTCTAAGAAATGATGGATAGTGGCTAGCAGTGGGATACAGTTTGACGCGCGTTTCGTCCTATTTAGGACTCGTCAGCTGGACGTACCTCCATCTCACAGTTGATGTTCACTCTGCGACTCGAATCCAATACCGTTCGCTTCAAACGCCATCGCGTTATCCACTTAGCTACTGAGTCCTAATAGCCACTTGCTTGTGCTAGCCACTATCCATCATTGCTTACAAAAAACTTGTGAATTACGACAATATCGAGGCATACGCACAGTATGCCCATATGCCAATAAAAGACTGATCGATTGCAGTGTTCAACTTTAATGGGAAGATTCAAACAAAACAATACTAAGTGAACCAATTCTAAGTTTTAAAAGTAAAGTTGAACATACAACTACTTTCCATGAAGTTGAATTTATGGAACAAAGAAGTTCATTGATGTAATTCCTATTAAACTCATTAATTGACTAACTGATTTGCCTATCTTTAGATACAGGTTAAATCAATGCTAGACAAAACATTCACGTATATTAACTAGTAACAATACTCCTACTCCTACTCTTACTCCTACTACTGTTACTACTACTAATACTACTACTACTACCACTACTACCACTATTACTACTACCACTGATAATAACAATAACAATAATAATCAGTATGAACATAATGAACAAATGTAAATGTAATCGATTTTTTTTTCTTTCAGAAAATTTTCTTTTTTTTTTTTTGTTTCCAATTTTTAAAACCGGGAAATAAACATACAAAGCTAACAAATAGAAAAATAAATTAGTGAAGAAAGAACAATCACATTTTCTTATCCATTCTTTGTTATCTATATGAATTCATTGTTTAATTTATTCTCTTACCTAATCACCCACTCACTCACTCATTTATTTATTCATTCATTCGTTTACACGTAAATTGAATAACGTATGAAGAGATAAGAGATACATTTCATTCATGTAGATAATACTCAATAGTTGAAATCATGAGTCAATTAAAGCTAGATCACTATGGAAAACCTGGAAGCACTGGACGGTCGTTTCATCCTAGTATGAGACTTCTCAGCAGTGCGCATTCACGATGCTGCCGCCTCCCGCGAGATTCGAACTCAGGACATCATATGTAAACGCTTAACTTCTAGGCCACTGAGCCAGCCAGCATCCAGCGGTGTTAATGTCTAATTTCAATTGATTTATAATCTCAACTATTGAAATGATAATTCCGTTGGATACATCAATAAGTTCAACTAAATTAAAAACATTTAAAACTTTGGATAATCAAACTTAATGATCACCATAAAAATAAATAAACATTCATTTTACCAGTTTATGGGTTGTGGAGATTGTTAACTTTTTGATTGAGATCATGAACCGATTGATGTTAGATCAGTGGAGCTAATCTGTGTCCGGTAGAAACAGGTGTGTACCTCAGTACAATGAAAGATGGTTGCGCAACTTCGTGGATTAGTTGAGGTTAGACATTAACATCGTTCAATGCTGGCTTAGTGATCCAGTAGGTTAAGTGTTCGCGCACTAGACTGAAGGCCCTGTGTTCGAATCCCGCGAGCGGGATCGTGGATGCGAACGGTTGAGTAGTCCCACAATTGGACGAAAATGCCGTCCAGTGCTTCCAGGTTTTTAATCATGGTCTCAGATCAATCGATTCATGATCTCAATCAAAAACATTCATTTGTTTGTATTTTTTCTCCCCTTACATCAAAATAATTCCATGTATGAGGCTTTATAAAGTGAAGTATTTGTATTGTCACTAGTTGAGGGGAGAAATTCTATCGCATATATAATTATTAATCAGTAATAGTATGAGTCTCAATGTCTGTTGGCCGTATATTATCATTAAAAACCTACTAAATTAGGGAATAAACCAACTTTTCAGTTAAGAATCAAATCATTAAAAAAATGTTGAAATCCTGAAAGGAAAAGAAAAAAGCGAAAGACCAAAGAACATATTACGTCTGAAATAGAAAGCAAACATATAAAGAATGAATAGAAACACAAAAAAAAAACACTAAAAATGATTGTCCAAGACATAGTTAGACGAAAAATCGTGATGGATGGCCTATACTCCTCTACAAATGGTTACAGATATAAGTAAGTAAGTAATTGAATAAGTAAGTAGGGAAGTAAGTAAGTAGGTAAGTAAGTAAGCGATTGAGTAAGAAAGTAAGTGATTGAGTAAGAAAGTGAATGAGTATGTAAGTAAGTAATTAGGTAGGTAGGTAAGTAAGTAAGTAACAGTATGATTGATTGAAAAGAACAATCTTCTACATACAACTAGATCATACCACTTGTTAAAACAAAATCAAACAACTCATAATACATATATATATAAATCGAAATATACCATAGATAAATGAATAAACAACAAACATGACTTACCTGTATTCATATCGATTGGAATAAGTTGACGTGGATTAACTACTTTTTCACTATTTACTATTATACAACTTCCAACTTTACTGATATTATTATCATCATCATTATCATCCCTATCATCCTTATTATTATTATTATCATTATTATTATTATTATGTTTACCCATTGCATATATTTTAGGTCGTGAATCAATCCATTCCAATATATTATTATTATTATTATTATTATTATTATTATTATCATTATATAATAATGAACGTATTTCATTAAACATATATAATATATATTGTGGTTTATTATTCATCTTATCATCTATTCTATCTAATTCAATAGGTATAAATAAATTCATAGTAACATTATTTAATTGATTTGATGGTCCCATATATTCAATTTGTATAATATGTTCAATTTTAGGACCAATATCTGATACAATAATACGTTTTTGTGGATGATATAATAATGTTGTTGATGGAATTGTTCGATTATCCATTATACTTGGTATATCACCAGGACCATATGATATTCGTATAATTGGTCGATGAATAACATGATAATTAATTCGTATTATATTATTAATTGGTTGTGGATCTAATGTACCAGTGATGATATGAATGGTTACACCAGCACCTAATTGAAAATTAACTTGATTATGATCTAATAAAAATTTATCATAATATGTAGATAATATAAAACGTTGATTAGGTTGAATTAAATCATGATCATTTATATATAATGGTAATAATGTACCAATAGGACAATGAACCCATGTTTCATTTTCAGAAACATCTATCATAATTACTTCTGTATAACGTTTATTATTAGTAGTATTAGTAGTAGTAGTATTATTATCTATATTAATAGGATCAATTTCTAATTCAAGATGTGAAAATTTTAAATTTCCATGAAATTGTAATTCCATACGTGTACCTTTTGCTTTTGTTGGTCCTAAATTATATATTTCTATTTGTATTTGTTGTCTAGAACTATTTTTATTACCATATTCAATATTAATATTCATTGTTAAAGGATTATTTATACTATTATTATTACTATGATTAAATTTAGATATTATATTCTGTTGTTGATAATATGAATATGGAAAAGTAATTAATTGATTTGATTGTATATCTTTCACATATATCATAATATCACTTTCACATATTGGATTTGGATAACATATATAACGTGATAATGGTATTTTACTAATACATTTTGACCAATCAATATATGAACGTTTTAACCAACTCCCATTTATACAAGTACCATTTTGATTAATAACATTATAATTACCATAACATAATTGTAAAAATCGATAACCAATATAAATACCACCATGAATTGATTCTAAATCATGAATATTTTCAATATTAATTTTAGCTTGTAAATTAAAATCAATAATTAATTGATTTTGTTTGAATTCTATATATGATTTAATAGAATCAATTAAATTAAAACGTTGTTCAATTAAATTGGTTACATTCCAATCAGGATTAATTTGATGTATAACTTGATCTATTTGTAATGAATTTAAGAATTTTCGATCTAAATAATAATGATCAGATTTTGTGAATTTTTTTATAGGATCATTAAAATAAATAATAATTTGTATTGGTATAATATCATTTTTTAATATATTTCTTATAGTTAACCATGGTGGATATATATAATGACAATTAGCAATCCATGTATAACGTGTTGCATATACTAAAATAGATGGATTCGATTTTATATGATAATTTATAGAAGAAATTGGTACAACTAAATCATTTATTCCATTAAAATCTAAATCTTCTGCATGTGATGGAAGATGTGCACCATAATCATATGCATATTTTGGACTTTTTAATATATCAAATGGTATTCTATCAAATGTACAATTAGATAATAGACGTATTAAATAAATATAACTATAATGATTTGTTGTAGTAATATTTAAATATGGTGCACCAACAGCAATATCATCATTACCATCACCATCATAATCACCAAGATTACATAATGAAAAACCAAAATGTTTTGAATAAAATGGACCATCTAAATAATCTATTTTAGTAGATGATTCATAGGAATCTAATTGACATAATAAATAAATTCTACCAATATTATAATTCATTGATGAAATAGGATCCATTTTAGTATTATTATTATTATTGATTATAGTATTTCTAGTATATGGTGCACCCATGATAACACTTTTAATATATGGTCCTTTTATATTAACTCTTAATACAGATATACCATTTCCATTGAATGGATTAGTATTATTCAATTCTGGGAACCAATCAATATTACTATAATATCCATTTACATTATCTCTATAAGATTTACTATAATGTATACCAATTAAATGATTTATATTTGTATGATTATTATTATTATTATTATATGTAAGTAATCCTGGTGCTGTAACAAAACCATCAGTTAATGCATAACCAAATAATGAACCAATTATTCTATATTCATTTGATTCTGGTCTATTAATTGTTGTTACTTTTATAGTACCATATAAATCGGTTAATATTTGAATACGTCCATAAGGTGTAGATAATGGTTGACCAATCCATAATTGAATATTAGATAATTGATCTTTATCTTTTGAATCATTATTATTATTATTATTATTATTATTATTATTATTATATGTGAATGCAATACTATGACCAGCAGCACATGGTGTAACAACTTTTAAATTTGTTTGACAAAAATCAGATAATTCAATATGTGATTGAATTTGTCCATTTTCTATTAAATGTAAAAAACATCTACCAACTGGTAATTTAGAATTAGCTCTCCATAATGGATCACAATATATAAATAAATTTAAATCATGATTAATTTTTAATGATTCACTTGTTGCACCAAGAAATTCATGATCATTTCTATGTAAAAAATCAGATTGTAATGGAATACATGAATTTGATTGAAAACCAAAACCTAATAAACTTTCATAATCTGATTTCCAATTTAAATGGCATAAAATAATTTGATTATTATATCTAGGTGATACATGATTATTATTGAATTGTTGTTGTTGTTGGTGGTGTTGTTGTTGTTTATATGATCCACCAAGGAGTATATAACCATGTTTTAATCGATCTGAATTAAATAAACTAATACTAGTCCATTCAAATAATTCATTATCATCATCTTCTGATAATGATGATCCCGATGATGATGATGATGATGACGGTGACGATTTATTAAAATGAAATTGTAATGTTTTAAAATCTAATGTATCACATTGTTGAATTAATTTAAAATCAGGCCATACATTTAATGGTGTTTTAGGTGACCATAAATGGGATCTTATATAATCTAATTCCCAATGAATATCAGAATACGATTTATCATTTAATATATGTGATTGATCTGCTGTACTAGTAATACAGGTAAATAATAGAGTGAACAATACATTAATCAATATATAATAATGATAGATAGTTATGCAGACAGTAGATTGACAACATGTATTAATAATCCACATTATTCATTAAAGTATTAATAATAATAGTAATAGTAATAATAGTAATAATAAGTTTATGAGTTTGTATGTGCAAATGTTCTCATAGATTATCCAATAATCAGAAGAAGAAGATAAAGAAGTGATTTGTGCAAAATCAATTTAATTCAATAGTATCTATGTGCATCTATCTATCTGTATCTATATTCTTTTTAATAATAAAATATATATAGGTAACTCATATTGATAAAAATGTTATAAAGAAAAGATTTAAATTAAAAATGAATAAAATTTTAAAAGTTCACGCCTTTTTGTTGTTGTTGTTGTTGACGTTTATAACCTTGAACAGATTTAAATTAGGATAGGAAAATCTTGACCTTGTCTTAACCAATCAGAATTAAGTTAAATACTTGAATATGATTGGTTAATAATAATATGCGCATATTTTATGTTTTTATTTTGTTGTTATTGTTATTTTTGTTACTGTTGTTGTTGTTGTTGTGGTTTTTTCAATATATCATGCATAATGTGACATGAACGTCTTATTTTTTTTTAAAAAGTGACTTTTTATCTATCTGTTGTTATTATTTTTTCTTTTCATTCATTTATCCAATCCAATCCAATACTTAGTTATACCTGTTACCTCTCATGTGGGAGGGGGTGTTAGGCCATTCACCAACATTCTACATTGAAGTCTGTCTTGGACAATCCTTTCCAGTTACTATTCACCTTTCTCATGCTTAACTTCAATCATTGGTGCAGTGTGTTCTTCAACCTTTCCCTTTTCCGTTTCCTTAATGTTATCCTATCCATATTGTCAAAAGCCTACTCATAGTCAATGAAGTTGATGAATAATGACGAGTTTCACTCAGCTGATTGTTCAATGATGATCCGTTGTGAACGACCGATTCCTACGGAATCCAGATTGTTGGTCTCGAAATTGGGTGTTTACTGAGTCTTTCTTCCAGTTTAGCAACACTCCGTTAAAGACTTTTCCTGGTATTGACAGTTGTGTGATGACTCTATAGTTCTCACATTTACTCAAATCTCTTCTTTAAAATCTTGATGATGTGTCCTTCTTTCCAGTCCATCGGCACTTGTTCCTCCTCCCAAATCTTCTTGAATAGAAGGTGAAGCATGCTTGTAGTTACTTCGATGTCTGACCTCAGTGCTTCAGCTGGTGTATTATCGGGTCCTGCTGCTTTCCCGCTCTTCATTTGTCTGATGGCCATTCTGATTTCTTCCGTCGTTGGTGGATTGACATCCGTAGGAAAATCTGTGTGTGCTGCTTCTATGTCCCGTGGATTCGTTGGAGCCGGCCTATTCAGAAATTCCTGGAAGTACTCTACCCATCTGTTCCGCTGTTGTTGAATTTCAGTGGTTAGTCTTCCTTCTTTGTCTTTGACTGGTCTCTCTGGTTTACTATATTTCCCTGCTTGTTTCTTCGTTGCATCGTGGTGCTGTCTCATATTTCCTTCTCTTGCAGCTTTTTCCACCGGCCTTTAGTTCTCCCATCAGAATGATGAGGTCCTTTCTTGGGCACTTCTCTATGATTGATTGCAGCCTCTCATAGAATCGATCCTTAATTTCATCGTTTCTATCGTTGGTGGGTGCATAACATTGGATAATATTCATTGTGATCCCCTCCTCCTTTCCTTTGAATGATGCTTTGATGATTTTGGATCCGTAAGATTCCTATCCTACAAGTGCATCGCGTGCTTCTTTGAACAGCATTAAAACAATTTCCTGAGTGTGTGGAGCATTTTCCTCTTCGTGACCCGAGTACAGCAACATGTCTCCCGTATCTAGTCTTTGCTTTCCAGCTTTGGTCAAGCGGGTTACACTGATTCCGAGTACTGTCAATTTGTATCTCCTCATTTCCAATCCTATTTGACTGGTGTTCTCGGTTTCCCATATTGTCCGGACGTCCCATGTACCCATAAAAACTGTCGTTCTGGTTGTTAGAAGAGGCATCGGCCTCTTGATGGGGTCGCTAACCCCGTGCCCAACTCTCCTCCTCTACCCGGGTTTGGGAGCGACAGTAACTCTAGAAGAGCTGCAGACAGAATTAACAATAAATATTCATCAGTCCAATTCAGGACATCAATTAGTACATCTTGAGCCAATGAATAAACAAGATAAAATACGGATTGTATTTGTAAAACTTATTATAACAACTACATTGCAATTTTATTTTAAAGCTAAAGATTTCCAGCCAGAAAACTCTGACGGTTGTACATCTTTAAATATGTATATTTGCTAAATGAACGCTAGATTTGGTTCCTAAGCTCATCTAGTAACCCTCAGACTAGATCTACACAACGATGTGAACTCGAGAGAAAAGGCACAAAGTATGTAAGTAATACTTTACTCCAGTGGTTCATTTATGCACAGAAAATATAGGGTTTTTATAGTATTTTAAATATTTTAGGGTTTCCCGAAAATTTTGGAACTCTATTAAGCATATTAGCGGTACAAGTAATCATCCAATCAGAAACGCGACATGTAATCTTTCACCTTCAAGATGTTTCTTACAAAGCTTCTATTAAATACTGATTGAATAAGATGCTTCTCAGTGTCTTCAGAGCCTTTCTTGGCTTTTTTCGACGAGTTTTTGGAATCTCCTCAATAATTTGTAATTGAAACAATCGGATCTTTATAAATATTTCTTGCTTACCAATCGAAATCAGAACTAATTAATATAGAATACGGATGGAGTTGAAAAGCAAACAGTATAGTTAACCGATATACATAACTTTAATTATGTAATGGTGGAGAATATGAAATTTTATTGAAATAATGAATCGACCTAACTTAGAACATCATTAAAAACCTGGATGTGCATTGCTGGGGATCGCACGCTAATACCAAACGGGAATCTAGTATTTCCATATTTTCAATTGTAATCTAACTTAGATCGGTTCATGATTTCAATGGGACATAAATAAGTATGTAAAAGTACTGGTTAGCGTCTTTTCAGCAAGATTTTGTTCTGTAGGATTAGGTTACTGTCTCCATACCCAACCCTCCTCCTTTATCCGGGCTTGTGATCGGCAGTAACTCTAGGAAAGCTACAGATGGAGTTTGTGTAAAAGTACTTTTTATTAAAAACGAAAAATAACACGTCTTCTTTAATTAATTCTTTTGAGTCTAATTTTCCTCACGTGTAAAAAAACTTGTCCAATCACTATTAGGAATCATAGATTGGCGGTGATCCAACAATTTTATAAATATTATCGTGAAAGTGTAAGACTTCGTGAAACCTCTATAAAAGCTATTTTTTATGTAAGCTACTGATAAATAATTTAAGTAGACAAAACTTAAACGAAGAATTTTTATGTAGTCTATGAATGCATTACCTAAATTCAGGTTTGTGCTCTGAATTAACCTATAATCTATGTCAGAATGGGTTTTGTGGAGATTTTAGTAATTTCAGTAGTTAAAATCGTGAGTCAATTAAAGATGGATCACCATGAAGAACCTGGATTTCCATTTTGTCCTAGTATGGGTCTCCTCAGAAGTGCGTATCCACGATCCCGCCCCACGAGATTCGAACCCAAGACCTATCAGTCTCGCGCGTGAGCGATTAACCACTAAATCACTGAATGTCTAACTTCAACCAATCCACGAAATCGCGCCACCGTACACCATTGTTTTCAGTGAGCTGATATCTCACAACAGACCTGGTTGAATTCCACTGGTCACGACTTCTCACTAGAACTCCAGGAAATGACTCTTGGATGCCGGCTCAGTGGTCTAATGGTTAAGCGCTCGCACGCGAGACTGATAGGTCCTGGGTTTGAATATCGTGGGGGCGGGATTGTGCATACGCACTGGTGAGGAGTCCCATACTAGGACGAAATGGCCATCCAGTGCTTCCAGGTTTTCCATGGTGGTCTAGCTTCAATTGACTCATGATTTCAACTATTGAAATTATAATGTATGTGTATAAACACGAGTTAAATCGATCAAGACTCAAGTAAAGAAACGATATAATGGAATACATACTCACGACCTGCAGATTTCTTACTGTGAGCTTCATATGTAAACAAATGAGTCAGCACTAAAGAGTAGTACTTTGATCCGTAGACGATTCTATATTCTATTACTGAGAGTTATGAGTATGCTCTCAAAAGAAATTATGAAATAGGAGGAACTAATTTTCTTGTCTGATTCCCCGACTAAATTCATTCATTCATGTGAACTAACCTTCAAACTGGATCCATTCATTAGACATTTGCCTTTAATAGGATAATTAATTTAACCTAAGGAAGATATTGAACAAACCAGTTTCCATATGAAGTGAAAATTTGGAAAAGACGTTGGGAGTGAACAGGATATACACTAAGGAAATTATTAAACTGCATCACGAAGCAAGCACTAACTTGGGATCGTGAAGGGAAATGGAAAAGTGGAAGTTGAAAGAACACACTGCGCCGATAATTGGAGGCAAACATCAGAAAGATGAATAGTAACTGGAAAGGATTGTCTAAGACAGAGTTGGATGTAGAATGGTGATAGGCAGCCCATGCTCCTCCATGAAGGGTAGCAGACATAAGTAGTAACGGAAGACATTGTTTACTCAAGAGATTTCTACGAAGAAAATTTTCTTTCGACGAAATCATTTACCTAAGCTGTATTTATAATTGTTTAGTCAATATATTGAAGAGATCGCATCGTAAAGTAATTCGAGACTACGTAATAATCAGGTTAGAAAAGAATAAAAGAATGAAAATAATTTATCGATATAGGGGATGTGGGGTTATTACGTTTTTGATTGAGATCATGAACCGATTGATGTTAGACCCCAGTTGAAAACCTAGAAGCACTGGATGGCCGTTTCCTCCTATTGTAGGATTTCTCAACAGTGCGTATCCACGATCCCGCCCCCGAGAGATTCGAACCCAAGACCTACCAGTCTCGTGCGCGAACGCTTAACCAAATGGACCACTGAGCCGGCCGGCACCCAATGATGTTAGTGCTTCCAAGTTTTCAATCATGGTCTAACATCAATCAGTTCATGATCTCAATCAAAAAAGAAAATAATTTACATGTCTAAATTATGA